TCAACATTTTATATATACTGTCTGTAAATATTTTTATGTATTTATTTTTATTTTTGGTTTTCCATGAAGTTTACCCGAATTATTCTCTAAGTTGCCTCTATATAAAGTCATATATTATCGATTTCATAACACTTGATATGCCAAAGTCGTTGTCTCATTGCCATTATCGCCGCTGTGGCCGCTCCGGCCGCTGCGGCCTCTATGTCGTAAGTTACTCTGCGTGGATCTCTGACATCACAACAGACTATGATCGTACAAACGGAGACATTTATTTACACCGCCGTGGGGGTTGCTCCATCCAAGCTGCTCTGGTGTCTTATATTAGCTCAAGTACTCATCTAGTAGTTTGCTCATAATGTTGTTGTTAATTTTTTATTTTTTAATTAATTTAAAAATCTCCATGACATGGAGTGAAATTCTAAAATTATATTCTCAGCGATCGAATGTTTTTAGCTTATAGTATTTTTTAAAAAATTATGGAATCATTATCTGACAGTATGAATTCATATTTGCACAACAGTTAAGCCGCCTAGTAATATTTCGCTATAAGTATATATTTTATTTAAAAATGAAACATACCTTTAATTCCTGTGACATTTCTTAGTACTAGCATTTCATTATTTACTTATGTTTGCAATAGAAAATAATTCTTCGTTAAAAAAAGTCTAAAAAAAGTGCAATCCTATATTATAAAAGCTTTTATCAATTTTACTTTTTATCTCGTCACCAGTGAGGCTAACATCCAACGTACAATATGATGTAGGGACCAAGGTATGAACCCGGTTTGGTTTCTGTTACAAATCGTCCATTTACATTGATTATGCTCGATGCGATACAAAAAGACATTCTCATTTATATTCGTTTTCGTCGAATTTGTTTCCGCCGTCGGCTTAGTGATAGTGTTATACCGAAGGGCCTTTTATAATTTGATAAGGTTTAGCTTGTTGTCTTTGTTTGTATATGATATATATTTTTGTAGGTAGACGACGCGACGTTGCGAAGTGCGCGTGTAATGTGAGGTACGGAAGGAGAGGAGGCGATAGGTCTGTCTCAGTCGCGCGAGGTGATATCTGCATAAACTAGTCTTCCTTGTGTTTGAGTGGACGAGAGGGCGGCAGGCGGCACGAGAGGCAATCATTCCTCTAGTCTAGTTACGTGGTGCGGTTAAGTAAATACCAAATATAAAATAACGAAGGCTTTGATGTTAGTGTGTAGGCGGTAACCATAGATTCGCTCCGAGCAGCTTGGACCCTGCGAAACTTAACAAGGGAATGGTTGGGTAGTATTATTATAATGCATTTATTTCTTTATTTTTTGTCATAGTCACTCGTAAATATATTTAATTAATTGAGCTAATGCCTAAAATTGGAATATCAGAGTTTATTTAGGATGTTTCATATTTTACATTTTAGTGTTTAAATATCTAAAATTTACCTTAATTATAATGAATGGATTTTGTATTATTGGTATATAGCTGTAAGACAAAGGTGTTCTCGATAAACACAAACAACTGATTAATACAAAATAATAAAAAAAAAATGTACTGAGTGACTTTAACGTGTAAACAGAGCGGGCCATTGAAATAAAAACTTGAACTAAGCTAAATTTCTCTATGTGGTAATTTTAATAAATGTGATCGCTGGAAAATATTTTTAACTGCTATATGTATAGATATTATAGTTGAGTAAGTGATGTACCCGTAGTGGGGTGAGTAGTACGGCCGCGGTGGGCGCTCCGCCCCCGCCCCGCCCCTGCCGAGTGACAGCTTGTGC